GACGAAATTTCTTATAGAGGGGGAGAATTGTAACAACCCGACTATTTACAAAATAATATTAATTGAAATTGGAGGTAAATTGTGAAAATGGGTGAAATTAAGTGACTAAAGTATAATTTATGAAAACTTGTATGCCATTTTCAAAGTAAAGGAAATTCAGGGACCAAGCCCTGAATTTCCCCTAAAAGTGTCGGCAGGTTTGGTTATAACTAACGTGTTTTCTGATTTCAATCAGAAAACACAAAAGCTTTTCTTAAATTTTCACTCCTCCCGCACCTCGACTTTCAAGTCCGATTCCGACGCCGTTCGACATCCGATCGTCAAATTGAAACCACCATCGTGTTCGTTATCGAGTCAGGAACAATCCCCTTAAATTAATTGAAGCGAAACGCTGCTAAACGTCAGGAATTTCAAGTCAAAGCATCGACATTTTTTTTTAGCTCTATCGCCGAGAAAATCTCAAATTCACCGCCGATCGTTGCTCAGTTTACGACACCTCCTGCACCATCGTGTTCCTTGTGTCGTTTCGAGTTCACCGGTGTCAACCTTGTCCGCCGTAGACGGCGGCGTGTGAGGAGGTAGTACAGTCAAAGATTCGACCGATTTGAAATCGAGCTCTCCGCCGTTCAAAAATTTGAACCGATCGTTGTAAGTATCTCGAAATCGCTCAAAATAATTTTTAGAAATTTTTTCGGGATTTTTAGGGCCCCGGAGGACGCCTCACGCGCCGCCGCAGGGCGAGTGGCTGCTGGAAACCGGTTCTGACCGGTTTGACCGGTTTCGACCGGTTCGAACCGATTTGACTGGTCTGACCCGACCGACCGACCCGACCCCGACCGTTGACCCGACCCGACCCGACCGTTGACCCGACCCGACCCGACCGTTGACCGTTGCTTTCTTTGACCAAAACTTAAAATGGCTTTGACCGAGCATTAAACGACCGTTAATCTTTTCCGAGTATACCTATCCTGATAGTTTTCAACGTACCAAATCCGTTTCCGCTGTCCGTTTTGTCAAATTCGAACCCGAAGGACTCCAAATCGACGGTCAAAATAGTTTACTTTTACTTTGACCAAGAATCTGAATTTTCGAAAAGTCATACTTTATGTTTTTCGACGTCCTGATTCCGATTCCGCAATTCGTTTGGCCAAATTCATACTCGAAATACCCCAAATTGATAGTCAAACCCGAAAAATGCTTATATACTTAAGAAGTCTAGTTTTGAACAATTAAATAGGATTTGGGACTGATAGATTATTATTGTTTGAAGGTACAAGAGACTCTCCGGATTGTTCGACAACTCGACCCAGCTCTTCTAGATCAGTTAAACCACCATTATTCACGCGTTCGAAAACTGTAGCAGAGCGTGGTGAAACCAGCAATCAGTAGATTTGCTATTTGAACCTATTGTCGAGGTGTGTTCCCTACTTATTACTGAACTGTTTTATTGGTTTTAATATGTGGTACACCGAATTCATTGGTTATTGTTTTATGGATGCACCAATTTAATGTGACAATTTATGGAATATGGCTGCTATCTAATTTTTGTTTTGAAATGGTATATGATTACCATGTTTTTGGATTTATGAAATTTATGTCACGGTGCAATTGAATTTTGGAATTGAATTACGATGGAATAGCTCTGATCAAGCTAAATGGGCCTAATGTGACTCTTGAGGGCCCCAAGATGTTTCATTAGGTCGGATTTCCTTTGCTGTGTGCTTTGGGTAAGCTATATGGACTTATTGACTTGGGCTTAAGGATACAAGCTTCAGAGCCTATCCTTAAGTCTGCTTTCTTTTTGCTATGTGCATAAAGCAAGCTATATGGAAAATAATTTTGGGAACTACTGATGGTGTACCAGAAAATGGTTTAAACTATGATTTTCAAAAGTTAAACTCTTTTACGAATTTGTGAGATTACTGGACTATGATTTGTACCTATTGACATTTTATGGAAATGTTGGGACACACTGAGCCTAGCTCACCTTTTGAAAATGTTTTCCCCCTTTCAGATACTGTTGGTTAGATACATCGGTTCGAGCACTTGGAGGATCAACATATCTCTTGAAGTAAATCAGATTGTAATGTTTTTATCTTGCAAGTTGACTTTATTTTGGTGACATGGACCTTATTTTAAATATCGGATTTTATAATGATGACTCTTTTGCTATTACTGCTCGGTTTATTGTGATTTTGAATTTGAAGACATGTTTTAAATTAAATTATTATTTAATTGTACTATATTTACGAGTTGGATTTTGATAGTATAATTTGTTTATAATTTCACGTTATTTATAATGTGATTTTATATTGATAGAATAACGATTTCGGAAAATATCTTTAATAATCATAATGTGATCCACTAGACTTAGTCGAAACGCATAGGCCGGGTCTAGGGGGTTACACTTAAACTTGATTAAAGCTCAAACTCATAACTCAAACTCAATTGAAAAAAAAATTAATATATTATATTTTTGAGTTGCTCGTGAGTTTTTCGAGTCGAGTATCAAGTAGTTCGTTTCGGCTCGTTAAGAACTTGAGTCGTGTTCGAGCTCGATTCGAGTCTATTCAGGTCAAGTATTTATCAAACTTTGACCGAGTTGATCTTAAATAACTCACGATCTGTCTCATCTCATTTACAGCTCGGGATCTAAGTTAGCTCAAAATTGGATTAGGGATGACAGTATAACCCGAACCCGACCGAGAAACCCGAAACTCGGTCAAGTTCGGGTCGGTTCGGGTTCGGGGATTTTTTCGGGTCGGGATCGGGGCAAGGTATCCTCGCCCCGATTATATATATATATATTATTATTTTATATTTTTTATATTAATTATATATATAATATTTTATATTTTTTATATTAATTATATAAAAAAATATTTTTGGGTTTAGGTTCAGGTTCGAGTTTGGGTATAATATTTCGGGTCGGATTCGGGGACGGGGCAAAAAAATCTTTGACGGGACGCCCCGATAAAAAACTCGTCGGGGATCGGGTCGGGGTCGGAGACGGGGCGAGCAAAATCCGCCCCGAACCCGACCCGTTGCCATTCTTAAATTGAATTACCAAATAGTAATATTGAATGGGCATGCAAGATTTAAGCTTACCCAAATCTTTGGATTTTAATAATTTACTTATTAAAATAATATCTTTCATGTGCTTTGCAAAACATATTCTTTAATCCAATTTAAAATTTCAATTAAAAATCAAATTACGTCGAAAAAAATGTTTATTAGACCCACAACCTAAGGAAATGGTATATGTCAGTTGAGAATGGTTAACCGCTTACTCTATAAGTTGTTAACAAAATCTAATCGATTTAAACTTTATGAAATTATGAATTGATTTATGAGTTTGTAAAAAAAAAAATTGTGTCCAAAGTGAATTGGTGCCAATAAATGTCCCATTGAATAGGATGGTTATACATTTAAGAGGGCGCAATGAATGAAGATTACATGAAGGGGTGTTGATCGGTGAGAATGCCGTTAATAAAAGCCAAACCCTTCATTTTGTTGGCCTAACCCACCCACCCACCCACCACCACCACCACAACCACCACCAAACTCTCCCTACACCACAAGTTCTTCATTGAACCTCCTAACAATGGTATGTGAATGTGTTGTTCTATACTTTTACTTCTAGAAGAAATCATTTAATATATAGTAAACAAATAAAATAAATGGATAAATTACATGTTTAGTACCTAAACTATCAGTTTTGGTCCCTTTTAGTACCTAAACTTTCAATCGATCAAAACCATACCTAAATTTTAATTTTTGTTTTGTTTTAGTACCACTATTCAAATCTAACATTAAGTTTTGAAAAAAAAATTGAAAGTTTAGGTACTAAAACGGATCAAAGCTGATAGTTTAGGTACTAAACGCATTAAATTTTTAACGACGAGATACTAACATGAAACAAAAGCTAAACGTTGTCTATGATATATTTTGTATACTTGAACAAATCACTTGCACATTTAGAAAAGACGATAAATCGAGAAAAATTGTACATAATATTTGTCCAACGGTACACATTGTGTGAAATAAGTCACAATTAGTTACTCCATCTAATAGAATTAATGAAACAAGTTGTTTTTAGGGCGAAAAGTATTAATTTTATAAAAATAGAAAGACCAAAAAAGAATAAAATTATGATATTTGTAAAAAAAAATGCATAGTACACGACTCTTCTATACAATTATATCATAGGTAGGGATCGCAATTTAACCTGAAATCCAACAGGTTCTGATTCGACTCGTCTTGATTTTTAAGTCTGATCGGGTCGGGTCGGATTCGAGTGGATTGTGAAAAAACCCTGACACTATCTGAGGATAATAATATATTTTCCTTGAAATTTTTATTATTTTTTTAAATTAAAGGGTTGTTTGTTTACTTCAGAATGATTAAGCGCAAAATGATTCAAATGTTAAATGATTCAAAGACTCTAAATGAATTAACTCTGAATGTGACATGCTGTTTGATAATGGCTCTGAATCATTAGAATGTACTTATGTACTAAATCATTCAACAATGTTTTGCTGAATCAGTCAGCACTTAATCATTCAGAAGTACGAAACAAACGCGCTAAATGTTGAACGGTTTAACATTCACACTGAATGGTTCCATTAAGAGGCAAACAAACAACACCTATGTCTTTATTTTATCTCGGGTCACATCGAGTCGGATTTATACTCCGAAAATTCGGATCAGATCGAAGTCGGGTGGGATGTATATATTTTTTGGGTCGTATGGAAGATATAAAATTTTTTAGTCGGATCGATTTCGGGTGAGGTATATATTTTCAAGTCAGGTCGAATTAACCAAAAATTCAACCCTCACCCCACCTGTTGCCCTCCCTATCTATAGGATTAGTGTATGTATCTGTGTGGAGTACTTGGATCGATTGAGCCAGAACTTTTGTTAATCACATGTTGATACTCCCTATGTTCCAACTTGCATAGGATTTCTCTGCCATGCTATAAAATTATATACATAAACAATTTTTATTCCTGAATTCTAAGCATCAAACTAATCACATTATTATTCGACCTATCGTCTATCGTTTTTACAACAATCTGTAGCCAACGTACAACAACTTTACCAACAACATTATAATCGAACGTAGCGTTATCGTTCCCGACATTAGACACATCAAAGGTAGCCATTGCTTACCGGAAGATTCAGGATGTCGATGTTGAATAAGAACGGCAGCGGTATGGAATCTCGGGTTTCATAGAGATGGATTTTATATCTACTGATCATTCGCGTGGCCGGGCCAGCCAGAGAGAACTGAGAGCTCGAAGCCGAGAGAAATAATCGTTTATTGCAAGAAGGGCACGAGCTGATTGCCTGGTAGTCAGGATCCGGTGCATCTGTTGAAGTGTCTGCTGGCGTAGATTATCAGCCTGGTATGTTATAAGAAGAGAGATTATTAATCTGGCAATCACCCCAAATCCAAATGTTTATTAAATCATTAACACAAAAAACCTTTCCCGTTCTCCCCTGCACGCCAAGAAGTACCTGACGAAGGAACCCTTCGAGGGTTCCTAGCTTTCCCATGGCCATGGCCATTTGACCCATATAATTTGCCACATTCCCAGACGGTGCCGATGGGGCAGGTGAGCCATTGGCCAACGTCTCTGCCAATGATTGTTGTAATGCTTCCATCCCTTGTGACAAAGCATCTTCAGCCTGCTGGGATGATTGCTGCAAGTTCTCGATACCCATGAACTGTTGCTCAGTTAGAGGCTCCAACTGATTTGCAAGAAGCTGCGAGCAAGACCGGTTAAGCTTAGAAAACTATAGATAAACAAACATGGTTGACAATTAAGGACTGCATGTTATGACCAGGTTGCAGGATATCTCCCATGCGTCACGCTACACATCAAGATTTGGCTGTAGCATCTGCATACACTTATATAAAAAATATTGTATTCTTCAGGCAAATGGCCCTCAAGGATTTGTCACCCGAAGGAGCTCGATCAGTATTCGTGTTGCAGAAAAAAAAAATCTCATATGTGAGAGGTCCTTTGTCTGAACCAAGGTACATCTTTGAGTGACAAATCCTATAAGGGTCGACTGAAGCACAAAGATAATGCATAGACCAACATGGGAGAGACATCTTGGAACCCTATCATAACAACACTGCATGGACTTGGGATCATAACATAGAGGTTGTAAGAATTTACCAACCTTAAGAAGCTCAGATGAACGGAAGCCACCTATCCACAGAAAACAACGTTCGGCTGGTGTTTTCCACATTCCTGATAAGATATGGAAAACATCAGCTTTTGCAGCGATACCTTTCAAACGGAAAATGTCATCGAACTGTGCTGTGACGTTGTCGACAATAGTGCGAAGTTCAGTGTCACCAGCATGTGAATTGACCGCAGTCCTCAACTCATTTATATGCCTATTGTGCTCCTCTAGCCACCGTGCGTATTCAGCATCAAATGCCAGAGCACCTGTACAGCAGGCCAAAAGCCAGTGTCATAGCATATTATAATTACTTGAACTCCAAGCCCCTATAAGCAAATCACAAAATCATTTTTCAAATTTCAATGACGAAAATAAAGCTTACTTACCATTTCCACTCGTTGAATGAGATTGATCTCCAGAGCTTGAAATGAATATACCCTACAGTGAAAGAAGCAAAAACAATGAAAAATGAAGGCATAATAGACAGCATTATTAGGAAAATCAAAGAATGCATATGATACATCACAATAATGATGGGTTAACATAAAGCCGACCTGCTGACGAGCTCGCTGCAGCTCTTGCTCAAGTTGTGTCAGTTTCAGTCGACTACTCTCTAGCTGCTGCACATACGCCTAGTTTTTGAAAGCAGAAAAAGGGTTAAGAATAAAGGAATATACACTAATAATTTCAATATACAAGCTTTAATTATTGTGATAAATAAATAAATAAAGGGTCACAACTTTGTTCTTTCATCCTCTGTCACATGGTCAGATGATATTATGTCCAAAAGGGGAAATCAATAGGAGTAAGGCTACGATGGGGACATAACTGTGTAATTCCAACACAATTTTACAGTGAATTTTATAAGTGGCCTCTGAATTTTTAATAAGACACAGACAAACAAACAAACTGTACTTTGATACATAGTTGCCACAAGAACATAACAAATCTAGAGTATCAAAGCATGATAAAGTTAAAAAGATTAAATAAGTTTTATCAATGAAATACTTTTTTCCTTAACCGGCTTTTTCTTGCAGCCTCACGATTTTGAGCAAGCCTACGCAATGTCTGCAAAATAGTCATTGAAAAGGAAATATGGTTAGTTCATCAATACCATACAAGAACAAATTGATTTAACAATATAACATTCATGCTATCTCAATTTAAAAGCAATAATAATAATAAACACCGACCTTCTGATCAGTTTTATCTTTTGACCTGTCACTAAAATCGGAAGCCGCAGTAGCATTTGTTTGACCTCCTCCAAACTGCACAAAAGGATGGTCAATTAAGATTCACTACCAGCCAGTAAGCAGATTCTCCAACACAATAAATACATGCATGGACATACGCATCCTATATATGTAAATACATTTTTCCTTTGATTATTTCACAATGATGAAAGAAAAAAATTCAGTTGTCAACAAGGTGAAATGAAAACGAAACCCCCACAAAGCAAAGGTTTTAAACACTACGATCTTAAAACATTTGATCATGAATTTTGAAGAGGCATCACCCTTTGATTCTTCTCATCAGTGTCATCTGTTGACGTATCGGTCTTGGGGCTGCCATCCACCATATTGGAATCCCCCCAGTTCTCCCGACCAACTGATATATGTGCAAGATTTGGTTGGATATCCTTCAGAACAGATAATGGTTGGGGCCCCACAACAGCAGCAGAGTGATTGCTGTCTGCGGATGCAAGTGTCTTACACATATACACAAGCACAAAAAGAACTCAGTAACTGAATTTATGTCGAAAGTTTGAAGCACAAACACAACTTTCTGGAGATAGATGCCTACCTTGCTTAAAGCACCAAACTGAGCATCAGCTAATGCCTGGCTATTTGCCTTTATTTGATTAAATAAAGGATCTAAGAAGAAAACATTATCAATTGAAAATATATATCAAATAAAGCCCATAATGAAAACAAGAAAAAAATGCTAAATAATCATGTAACTTCAACTTCATGACACAAGAAAATTGAACAAGCAAGACAAAGGATATAAACGAAGAAAATTGAAGCCCATAATTACATACGTCTGGTAAGATCAATAGCATCCTCTATGCGGAAATGCTCAAGGGTTCCAAAGTCTGGAATTTGAGAAGAACGAACGGCATTTGCCTCTGTGCCACTGAAATCCATGTCATTAAAACCACATGTTTAATTGTAAGGCAGTATAATTTAATAAGTTCAAGATTAGGTCTATATTCCTAGCCAAGAAGAAAAGGCTACACGGGAATATTTCACAGTAACAGGGCATGAAAAAATCTACATTCATAGTTATAATGAGGCCGACTGAATATTCTCACAATAATAATAATACAAAACGTCCAGCATCCCAGTTTAAAAGTAAAAGCAAAATTCTCAGATTCTTGAATAATAATAATTATAAGAAAACAGAAAGTTGATAAACAAAGGCATTCCGGAACAGATGTCAACCAGCATATAAAAAGATTCCTAATTCTTTCAGATTACTATGGATGCTTAAAATTGCAAACTTGAAGTTAAGCCAGGGACAAGCAATTATCAAATATAACCTACAACCTTAACACCTGTAGATATATTACCTTTAAGCAATATATTACCTTTCTGTCCGCAGATGACAAACCGACAACATAAACAACAAAAAACAATAGATTAACTCCTTGCCTCACCCCTTAGTAATACTATCTTATACTAATAACGAACTAAAAGGCCATGAATTCTCCTTCGCCCATCTTAAAAGTGTTGAAGTGCACCCAGAGATGGGCAATTATCAAATATAACCATATCACCTTAACACTTACATAGGAAAAAATAAGGGCTTCTCATCACGACATGAACCTTTCAATCAATATAATATCATTTTTCCCTAGATAACTTATTAAGGACATAAAAGACAAAAAAACAACATACCATCTCCCAGTTCCGCCCCCTTAGTAATATTAATTTTATCCTATACTTATAGCGAACATTAAAATCCACGAATTCTCCTTCTTCCATCACAAGTCTAAATTCAACTGCTTCATTAATACCTACACAGACCAATTCTACCTTAGCACAAGTTTAATAACTAAGAAATTGAAGATGTCCCAACAACCAAATACACAAACATATATCCAGTACAAAGCTCATGTAGAAGGTAAACCGACGAATTCATAGAAAAAGCAATCAAAAGTTCATGAACAGTCTAAAATCAAAAGAAAAACCTGGGATTTGAAGTGGGTACTGAAGGAACGTAGCTCGGCATAGCTGCTGAATCTTTCTTATTATTTTCTACACTATTATTCACCGTCCTACTGCCCATCAATCACGGCCAAACATATCATCGTCCAAAAACTTCTCTTCTTCTTCGTCTTATATCCTTTTACTGCAAATCCCTATTCCATTTCTTCAATTTCGTTCACTGAATCAACCAAAAAAAATACCCAATAACTCAGATAAAAGTGACCCAAAATGATATCTGTAAGCTATATATAATCAAACTTGTCAAAAACCAAAAACAAGAAGAAATCGAACTATATTCATATCCGTACAGTTTTGCCACCAAAAAACAAAAACCCAAATCTAAAAAAAACCCAGATAGCTAAATAATTTGACTTGAACTACGAACTAACCTTGGTTTCTGCTCTGGGCTGAAAACTTAACGCCCAACGATTAGACACGACTTGAATTGAGAAGAAATTGCTCAGCAAAAACTAAAACTACTCAAGAAAGTAAATAAAGGAGATAACAAACAAGAAGAAGAAGAAGAAAAAGGAAAACCCTAACAACGCTTATTTGAGGGGTAAGAAATGTTTTTTAAAAGGGAGTATTCCTCCATTTTTTTTTATACATTTTTTATAGATGTAAGAATGAATTAGTCAATACACTAATACAAAAGGTAAACTACGTAAATAGTCACCAAACTTTTAAAAAAATTTATATTTTGATTACTAAACTTTTAATATGATCATTAAACTTTTAATTCACTCTAATTACGGTAACGCTCTTTAGTTGTGTTAAGAAATGACGGTGTGACATGTTGACGAGTGTTTATTTTGTTTTACATTGTGTGCTTTAATGCTCTTTGTTAGTTCATGATTACTATTGAATTAGACGATTTTTTATGTTTTTGTGCAGGAAGGTCTCTGTTGAAAAATGTGTTTAATAGGTTTGAAAACTGCACTTTTTGTTCTGGAATCAAGGCTGAGATATTGAGCGTGAAATAATGATGTGGCAGTGAGTCGGCAACTTCTAAAATATCCAATCAACAACTTCTAGAATATGGATGAACGACTAGAGCATTTCAAGCAATTTAAAATTCAAGTTTTTAGGATTTATCTTTTTCTTTGTATTTTGAGTGCATTTCTAGTGTTTTAGAAGGCTATAAATACCCTCTAAGGGTAAGCCTTAATCATCACTCGTTCATCATTCAACAATTCGAACTAGTTTGTTCTTCGCTTTCTCTTTATATTTTTTTCTTTTTCTTTTACTTTTGTTTCTTTATTTTATTTTAAAGTTTTTGTTTTTAATATGCTAAGTATGACTATGGTCATGCTTAGCTAATTTTCTTCTAAGCTGAGGGCTAAGCGATGACTCAATTCTAATGTGAGAATTGAAAAGCACTGAAGTAACTTTGGATACATTTCTCAAATTCTTTTATGCTTATTTCAAATCAAAACAATTTTCAAAACCAAAGATAGTCGATGGTCGGAATGTTGTTGTGATTAAACATGTGAGAGGAAGGATCGGCTAATTGATAGCAAATGAACTTCCCGAAAACACAATTAGCAAGTTGATGGTAAAGTGGGAATTGAGATCAGAAATGTTTTTTATGGAAACAACTATCCGAGTCAGATTTATGTGTTTAAATGGTTCTTGATCTACAACAACTAATGTTGACTATATCAAATTCCAAATCCAAAATCGAAGAATTGCGCTTGGGTATTCAGTATACAAGTTAATCGCGAGGATCTGTCCTTGTAGACAAAGTAACTGACGTGAATCCCGAAGGGTAAATCTATTTCGATGATCCGAAGAATTTGAGTCAGAGTGAATGCACAAGGCAGATTCAATCCATTGATTTTCCAAGGTTTCGCTTTCGTTAATTTCTTTTCTTTTCTTTTCTTTACAATTTTCCTTTCAATTTCATTTTTTCTTGCATTTTATTTCTCTTCAACCATAAACCCCCACTTCATTTTGTAACACCCTTAACCCATATATTGTACTCTTACTAGTTAAAGACGTCACGTCAAATATTCAAAACATTTATTAACCCAAAATAGGTAAAATCTGGTTTCTTTCCCAAATTTCATATTTGTATATTTATTATAAAATAAATAATCAGAGGAATTCAAAATATAATATTTCAACTTCTAATTCAAATCCGATCTCAGGGTAGTAACAAGCAGTTTGACTTTGTTCATATAATAAATAAAAATGTCTAATTTAAAATTCCTTTTAAAGCATGGTTTAGTATTATAATATCTGTTTATATTAAATTATATTTAATACTAAATATACTTCTAGTTTGCAAACACTTCATACTAGTATACATGACAGCTAGAAAATTTTGAAACACAGTTGAATGTCATTATTGTTATTTATAAATACTCCTTAGTGATTGATGTCAAGCTCAACTCCCTACTCCTTCCGCTTTAATTTACCTATGCGTGAAAATCATCACACGCTAAGCATACACTTAGTGAGGCATAAGAATAGTGAGTAAAACATTTTAAAGCATAAGTAAGGTATAAAAGATCAAAATATGAATCATATCGTATAATATATATATAAACATATAAAACTAACTTGATAAGCCAAATTCTTATCACATAACCTACGAAACATTATTTCATATGCATAGCATACTTATCAACTTGTCTATTCAAAAATATTCATTCATAGCCTAATGTATGACAGATGAGAATGCAAGGTACATAAATTGCGCATAAGTGTTAAATGAAAGTATAGGTACCGTAGTAACAACAACATTATACTAATATATCGAAATGGTAATTCACAAACTCATTATGAACACCATCAATGCACACATAGTGTTAAAAGTACGCAAATGTACTAATACGAAAATGCAACAAATGCATTAAACAAAATTGATCGATAACCACCTTATTCAAGGTATTAAGTGCTCATTATGAACACCATTATTGCACACATAGTGCCATAATACACAAAGTACTGGTACAAAAATGCAATAATGCATTAAACAAAATCGATTGATAACCATCATACTCAACTTATGTCGAAATGCACCTATGACTCTCAATGTACATACAATAGGTTGTCATATCCCAAAACGCATATTAAACATTTATTCTGAAACACCAATAGATGTTAAATAGAGTAAAATACATCCAATTATTTTAGGACAATTCATACCCTAAAATCCTTCAATAAAATCATTTTCATAAACATTATGAAAGTACTTCAGAATACGTTAAAAATATGCTTAGTAAAAACATTCGAGGTTGACTCATCGCAAGTCATCCTCATATCATATCATTACATAGTAAATACACTCACTTTAAAACTATTTATACAAGTCAAAATATAAGCCTCACTAAGCTTTAAGCTTGATCCTCTACTTTAAATTCACTTCTATTAAGAAGTTCATCACAATTTCGTATTCTAGCAGTTTGCACTACCTTTAAAGAAATATTATTTTGTATTAATATACTCACTCAAAAAATATTAAATTTATACCAATGAAAAATAGACTCAAATATGAATCAAACCATTTAAGACACTTCTTCTAGTTCAATTTGTACAATTTATAGTAAATTTTCAAAGTTGACTTACAAAATCTGTTTTGAGCAGAATCTGCTGCCCTATTTTCTGACCTATTCTCGATTAAAAATTCATATCTTTTTGTATACTTTTTGAAATTAGTATCCGTTTATTTTAAACGAAACTATACTGATATAAGAATACAACGATATAATATTCATCCTCTAATAACTTCCGTATAATTTATGGTGATTTTCTAAACTTGTTGAGAACATAATTTCTAGGCTGATTTCACCAATTTGCAATTTCAGCTTATTCACTAATTCGATTAGCTTACCAAATGAACAAATATGCATGAATCACAAAACATCTAAAAATTAGGAGTCGCTTCTTACCATAGTAACTATGTCACTGGTTCATCGCAAGCCAATGTTTGTTCGATAACATAAGTACAAATTAAATTTGCACTCACCTTGTGTCCTTATCTTGCAAACCTTCCTTAGAGATTCACATTTCATCATTAAGCTTCTCCTTAACTTTAATAATGTTTGATCTTGATTTCAATCACACAATGTAAATGAGCACCATTACAAAACATATACAAATTCAAACCACATGTTAGAATCTTACTAACATAGGCACACATTAGAAAATAAATTCCTAAAAATCTTTCAATACTAATTCTATGTCACAACATAAATGTTGACCTTAACACTTCCAATTGACCATTCAAATTCCATTTAATCCAAATTTCACATAACATTTTCACTTAAGCTTCCAACTTTTCCATATTTATAATTCAAGCCTCAACTTTTACCAACTTCCCAAAATAATCTAATTTCACATCCTAACTTCAATTTCAACTCTCAAACATTAATTTCCAGCATAGTACATCAACTATTGAACCATTACACATAGTTCCCATTATTTTCCATAATTGTCAAATAGGTTCTTGAACTTTCATAAAATTACAAAATGGTCCCCAAAATTTTTTCCTAAGGCTTGTAGAATACTTCCTATATCATTTTCAGCCCCTACATAATTTTTCCATAATTTTTCTCATCATCAAAAGCGAAGGATGAATAGTACAAGTCTAGGGTTCCATGATTTCACTTGGTTTTGATTCAATTCTAGCATGAAATCAACCTCTATTCAACCTTATAAAGTCTCTACAATCAAATCACAATTTCCCCTAATTTTTAATGTTAGGCTGAAACTATCAAATGCATTTCTAGGAGGTTTGATCATGATTTAATCATCAAACAAGCTTGGAAATGATTCTACAACCTCAAAAACCTCAAAATCTATCATCAATTTTATAAACCCTAATGCAAACATAAACCCTAAAATTTGAGATCTTTAAACTCAATCAAGATTAGCATGCAACAATGGTACCAAAGATATAGCTCATTGAATAGAACAATTTTCTATTTCACGTCTTAATCCAAAAGCCTAATAAATTGGCTTAAAATGAAAAATAAAAATTTTCTTACCTAGGGTATGAAGGCCACGAAATCGAGGAGAAATATGACCAAGTTTTCATGAAATTTTAGTTAATTTCATGTTAATTTATCATGTATTTAAGCTTAAATGAATATAAAATTTATTTAATGAGAAATGACAACTTTACCATTAATGAAACTTGATAATTACATTCATACCAAGACACATAACCCTTATCATCATTATAAAGTCAAATATGAACAAAATATTTCACCCTTTTCCAATCTAACCAAGCAACTTTCCAAAAATTACAATCTTGCCACTTTGATCCAACATTCCAAATCAAACATGGAAATAAGTTCTCAAATCCAATGATCCATATTATTCTCCATCATTTTAAAATGTGGAAATAATATTTTTAAGTCTAATTTATCATCCTTCAAATTTTCCCAAAACTTCTATTCGATTCGATTTATCGAATTAATACCAGACTTTAACTATTTCTAGTTTTTAACATAAATTTTGAATAAAGAATCTGATTTCAATAAAATCTCACTCTCAAGAGTAAACTATCCATTTATGGAATAAAAATT